CGGCCGCCCGCGCGGGTCTCTCCGCCGCAGCCCTTGGCGTCGCGGCGCTGCCCCTCGGCCGCTGCGGGGAGGCCCTGGTTACCCTGCGAGCTGCTGTCTGCTGTGTCGGTCCAGCAGATCAGTAGAGTGAAAAACCACTGGGGAAAACCCCACAAAAGCGTTCAAGGGAAACCTTCCCCTCCTTTAAATGGAAGTGCAGCTGTTCCTCAAGCTACGTCTTTGTCTGTGAACCCGTTTATGGGGCTGCGTTGTCTGAATGGCAACGGCTAAACGCTGACAGAATAATTCTCTTGCCCCTCAGTGGCCCTGTTCCTTTGCTCAGGGTCTCCCTTCCGTTCAGGCAGCCCCCTGATATTTAGCCTCCATGCCGTAGCCCCCGTATTTTGTAGAGGTGACTCATTCCTAGCACGATGCGAGATGCAGTATCGCGGTGGCTGGTGCCAAGGAGGCCTTGCAGACACTGGAAGTGAGTCACGTTTGGATGGTGAGTTTGCCTCCTCTCCACAAGCCTGTCGACATCCTTGGCAGTATTTTGGCAGGGTGGTGATGAGCATCACAAGCTCGGCGTGCGTGGAGAGGTGGTCTGCAGCGCTTGGGCAGAGGCCGAGCTGCATCACAGGCACAAGGAAAGGTCACATCAGCATTTGTGAGTGGTTCCTGCAACTGAGGACTGGTGCTGAGGATGGAGAGCTCTAACCTTGCGGCCCCTCCAGCCTGGGGGGCCTGTGGCATTCAGGCACAAGAGAAGATGTATTTTAGTTCACTTGTCATGGGAATACACACGAGAGCCAGCTCTGTAAATCCACGTTCGGCTGTTGAGGTAACCCTTCCTGTGGTTTTACAGCTCTTTTCCTGCCCTCAGTCCATCGCTGCGCTAGTGCTCGGCCCTCACAGAGTCCCTGAGGTCTTGTGGCCCTTGCTGGCTTCAGCAGAAGCTCATGTGGCTACTGGCTGAAATGATGAGCAGCCCTCGTGGCTGCTGTCTGGGGTGGAGGGAGAAGATTCCCCCTCTCTTTCCAGGAACAGTTAAGGACAGCAGCAGCCGCGAGAGGAGGTGTATCCACAGCCTAAGGTTAGCACCTAGAAACAGTGGATAAATTTACATTACAGTATCAATTCCCCAGGGATCCTGTTTGGTTTTCATGCTGCCGGCCTGCTACCTCTGCTTAAGGAGAGGCTTTTCTTTAAGCCACATATCCCATTGATTTCAATGAGACAAGTCTGTGCAGCCTGGGCAAACATTTGGGCTATTGATTGCCTGAGGGCTTTAGTGGCTGTGGTTTATAAATCCTTGTGGAAAGGGCATGAAGCACTTGGTTGTGGAGAGGCAGGTGATGCTTTGCTTTGTTTTCCTTCCTCAGCTGGTTGCATCGATCGTCTTCATCAGCTTTGGCGTCATTGCTGCGTTCTGCTGTGCCATAGTAGATGGAGTCTTTGCTGCCAGACACATAGTAAGTGCCCCCAGGAGAACAAGGGTGCTGCAGTGCTTCTACTCGAGCAAGATAAGCCTTGTGTCTACACAAGGTGTTCTATACCAGACCACGCTACAATTTATAAACATGTCATGTGCTGAATGCTGCTATAAATCAAAGAGTTTAGAGCAATGTATCAGCTTTACAAAAATATTTTGAAATGAGAAATAAGTATTAAGATCTTAACACTTTGCTTTAGTGTTTTTGTGTATACTTCATGTGTTAGTAAGTCTTAAAGCTGCAACATAGAATGTGAATTATGAGTATTGCAAAGTGGCACTGTACAAGCAGTAATGCTTATTTTTACTACAAGCAGCTCTTAATAGTGATTGAGCACTGTATCTTGTAATAGCATTAAGCAATTTGATATGAAAGATATGAAGGTCAGTGTTACTGTAAAGGGGAAACACTTTCAGTCAGTTTTGAGTTTCCAGAGACATATTAAAAAAAAAAAAATTACTGTGGTAACCAATCACAAGTAGTATGAGACATGTAAAAAAAATTAAAATTTGGAAAAAAAAAATCTATTTCAGTTTTTAAATTAGAATGTATAACTGCAAACAGATTTTTTTCCCTCCACATTTTTGTTGTTTGGTTTCCATTGTTTTTGCAATTTTGGGTGAAATGGTATTGGAAAATAGATTAGAGGTTTATTTGTAGTTGTAATGGAAAAGGATTTTTGGAAGGTCAGAATTACCCATGAAATGGAAATTCCGTGAGTCGGCTGGCGCTTTGCTCTTCCTTGTCTCCGAGCGTCCGAACGGTGGGAAGGTGACGGCGGGATCTGCTGAGAGCAGAGGGCAGCTCCGCTCGGCTGCCCGGTCGGTCACCGCCTGCCTGGACGTGATGAGCAGGTCTTGGCTGCCCCTGGTGCCCCTCTCGAGCACATGTGCAGCGTTACCTCCGATAAAAGTGTGGAGCTCTTTTTGCCTCCTGGCCACATGAGGACAACCCCGCAGGCTTGCTCCGTGACTTGGGATGCTGACCCTGTGGGCTGGATAATGGCAGGAATTGGCACTTCCCTGCCGGCCGCCGGGATGTTTGTGTGTCTGCGGCATCGAGCGCCGCGCGCTTGGAATGGCGAGGGCTCTGGTTTCTGCCTCTTGATTAATGGATGCGCTTTTGGCCTCACTTTACCTCCTAACCGTCCAAGAATGTCATCATCTCGCTGGAGATGTGCTCCTGCCACAGCAGCACATAGTGTTCCCGTGTGCCCGCTGCTGCCGTGGCTTCGCCGCAAGCCGTGGGGTCCAAGTCTGACGGCTCCCAGGAAGGGCCCGCAGTGAGGGCTGGTCTCCATGGTGCATTAACCATCACGCACAGGAGGAGGGCAGCAGCCACCACCTCCCTCTTCCTGTTGCAAATTTAGTGGTGCCTGCGCTAGGGTTTTGGCCTGGGGTGCAGGCTGCCCCAAGTGAAGCTTTAGTGCATGATGCTTGCAGGCTGAGCTGTTGATAATCCCCAGAGCTTTCCCCTCATTCCCTCCGAGCCCAGAAGGACAAGCTTGCCAGCAATGTAGTGACAGGTTGTTATGAGTCAGCATGAAGAAGCCCCAGGAACATGCAGGGAAACCCTGGGATATGTCTGGGAAAATGAGGAAAGAATAATCCAGTGCAGGGTGGCTGCCATCCCCCAGCTCAAGAGTCTGTTCCTCCCTGTTCAGCAAGCACAGGCCTCAAAAGACCAGAGTTAAAAAGTATCTGGGGATGGGTGGAGGCTGCCAAATTGCCGAAGACCCTCTGCGTTTGGATGCTGACGTGTGAGCAGGACCCCTCTAACTCTGGTTCATCTTCCCAGACCAGCTACCTGGCAGCTCAGGTGCCATTTCTGGTGTTGATTATAAAGCAAAGCTAAGTTTGGTACTTTTCCTTTGGCAGGATCTGAGGCCGCTGTACGCAGGACGATGTCAGTATTATTCCAAAAGTACAACCCCGCCAGAGGTGAGAGCAGGTTTTACTACCCTGTCTCCTTGAAGGACCTGGCTGCGCGTTGCAGGCGGAGAAACCGGCTGCCAGGCTGTTGTGCTGGTTCCCCGAGGTCCTGCATACGGAGGAGATGGTGGGAGACAGGGCCTGGGAGGGAGGGGGGCCGGGAAGCCGCTGTGGGTCTTGCTCCGTGTTTGCCACAGCCGCAATAATGAAGGAGCTGGTAGAGACAAGGCATGGGAGAGAGGAAAATGCACCAATTTCCATTATCTTCAGCAATCCAGATGTTACAGGAGCAGCAGGATGGTGGATTGAGAGTGCAGTAATTTCTGTGCATATAAAGAGCGTGCATCTTCCTCCCTCCTTCTGCTGTCTAACAGTTCCTCTAAAGAGGACAGGCAGGGGCAGACACTCCTTCCAAGCAGAGCTAGTGCCTCTCTGGGCATCTTTGACCACCTTTGCTCGGCTCTGGGAGTCCCTCTGAGATTTTCTGAGTGATTCTTTAATAACCACTATATTTTAAATTGTCTGCTTGAGGCGCAAAACAAATACTATTTAGTAGCATTGGTGGGGCCCATTCTCTTTTGGCCTTCCCACGTTCACTTGAGCATTGCTACCTGCAAACAGACCATTGACCTCTTTACTTCAGCTGTTTGCTGACATGGGATTTTTTTTTCTCTCTGATAGTATCATCCTGCTGACAGCTGTTTGTCTCTCAGTTACTATCTGGGGAAGAGTGTTGGTTCTAAAAGGCCTTGTCTGTTTGTAGAAGTTGCACAACGCCCTTCCTATGCGGACACATGCTTATCTGCGACTTCCCTGTGGTGGGAGGATGGGTGGTCTGGTTTAGCCTGATGCATCTGTACTTCTGTGCAGCTGAAAAGGAAAGAAAAATCTGCCTGGGGCTAATCCTAATACCAGTGCAAAATCTACGTATGGAGCAGGTCAAATAGCAGCAGAAACCGTGTGTGGTGGTTGTATCCTCATGTGTGTCTTCTGAATTCACACAGGCAATCTGTCACCCGCAACGCCGTGCACCCTGCACACCCAAAATAAAAACCAACACCTGCTTCTGCTGTGACCTGTACAACTGTGGAAAGTAAGTAAGCTAAAAATGCTGTTTCTGGCCATGGCAAGAACAAGCAGTGGCCATGCTGGTCTGCAGGTGTTCGAGTGGACAGGATAAGGCCCAGACAAAACATTTATTAATGACTGCTGCTGTAGGAGGAATAATTACATTGTGGTTGCTTGCTGGCAAGATTCCCCATAAAAAGATCAAGCAAGTAAGAATAAAGGGGTCTGTGAAATACACTCAAGTCACCCCAGCCCCATGTGAGCGTGCTGCAGGGCAGGAGTCTCTGGGACTTCCATTCCCGTTGTTTTCTCCAGCTTCTTCACTTTTTCTAACACCTTCCTTCTCTGTTGGCACTGCTATTTTGTTGGGTTTTGTTTTGTTTCAGAAGACAGAAGGTGTAAAAACTGGGTTACTCTTCTTCCTCATCATCTTCACTGTTTTGTCTCCTGGTAGCAGGGAGGAAGGTTCCCAGGGTAGGGCCACCTGCGTGTTCATCATCAGTTTCCTCTGTGCCCAGTGAAGGTCTCAGAAGGTTAAAAAGCACATGGGTGCTTTGCAGAGGTTTCAGGTGCACCTCACAGCACGGTGATCACACTATCGTTAAACCTGCCTAACGTGCCTGAGCTCACTTAACTTACAGCATGTGCTGCAGCATTTCCTTTGGAGTGTTCAGCGTGTGTCAGCAGCCTATTAGTCAATTGACTTTTAGTGCTGTCTCTTGGCTAGGGCTGTTTAAGCCTTCATATCTCTGAGGCTCCTTCGTTGGGCTGACCCACGTACGGCACTGAGAGCGGTGGAGGCTAAATCAGAGGGGGCTGCTGGAGCACGGTGTCCCGTGGGCTGCGAAGGGTTGTCCCCAGTCTCAGGCCTTAGGACTTCATTTCCCTGCTGACCACTACAGAGGGATGAAGCTCATTCCTTCCTTGGACCGTTTACAGAACCCATTCCTGTTTATTGAAGGGAGTCATGCACAGAGAAGTTACAGGAGCAGAAATTCTTGTAGCTGTGCTACGTGGTTCCTCCTTTTTTAATCCAGCTGGTTCAGGGTCCTGCCTTTCACTGTTTTCAGTTACATCAGTTGTTACAATCTTCATCTTGCCTGGTGCTACACAAATGGTACAAAAAAAGGGAATTTCATAGTGAGGGCAGAAGACTGGCCCTTGTGAAAGGTGCAGGTTCTTGCAGTCCTTGCAGGGAGTCTGCTGTGGGGCTGAGCCTGGAGCTTTTGGTTTCCAGGTTCCTGCTTCTTGACCTTAAATAAGAGCCAATTGCTCTCAGTTGTCTCAAAGGCCCCATGTGGTTTGAGCCTCACCCCAAATATGAACTGGCAGACAGGTTGTTCATAATGTGATATATTACACCAAAAGCCAGGCTGTTCACCACGTGGCAGTTGGTGAGAAGTCATTACTGAAGAATCCAGCTTGCAAGAGCCATTATCCCTATTCCAGAATAGTGATTCATTCCCAAGTACAATTCCACTGAGTTTTCTGTCTGTTTTTTACATACGCAAAAGTTATAAAATGTTAGCAGAAGGACCCCTGCCAGGGTCCCAGGGGTCCTGCCAGCCCTTGTCGTTACCGAGCCCTTTTGGGGATGCCAAGGGGGGTAGCAGGGGCTCGGGACACGTGCCTGCCGGCCGGCTGTGCAGTCCCGCTCCGCTCCGTCCCGTCCGGCTGCTCCTGGCGCTGCGAGGAGCCCGCAGTGCCCCTGGGGTGGCTGCCCTGCCTCGGCGTGCGGACTGATTTCCCTGGGTAATTCCAGGACTGGTTTGTAAGACTTTGGGAGCCTCCAGGATGAAGGTCTGGCTCTAAGGAGATTGCAGACGACAGAAATAAGAGGCAGATTCAGACTCGAGGGCATTTAGAGGGCTTCTGGGACTTGGTTGTTTCACACATCAAGCTCTTCTACTTGGGAGACCTCAGATGCCTCAAGGATGGAATCGTTAGGGCTTTAATCCCTTTCCCTCAGAAGTTGGGCCCAGGCTATCATTAAATGGCAGAATGCATTTTACTGTGCAGTAGAATCATTTAGATTTTACACAGTCTTTTTTTTTTTTTTTTTTTACTGTTACTGTTTCCTAATCCAGCAGAGTAGAGATCTCTGGAGGCTACTATGAATATATTGATGTCAGCAGCTGCCAGGACATCATCCACCTTTACCACTTGCTTTGGTCTGCAACAATTTTGAACATAGTGGGGCTATTCCTAGGGATCATTACAGCAGCGATACTTGGAGGCTTTAAAGACATGGTAAGATGGTACCAGTTTCTCTGTACATTAAAGGAAACAAAAGGGGAAAATTGAAATATGAATATCTGTTTTCATATTTCCTTAGGGGACAAAAAGGTAAATTGTTTATGCACCACTGCAATCAGGCCAGGAAGAAGGGCATGAAGTAACTGTAAGGAGAAAGTGAAAATGATTCAGTTTTCTGATCTGGTGTCACCACTTGAACACAATTAGATGAACAGGAATGGGAAATTGTGTTTTCCACAGGAACCTTTATCAGCAGTGTTGGCAATGTCAGGATTAAAAATGAGCTGTTTCTCAAAAACTGATCTTCCTTTTCATGGCATTGACCTTTTGAAAGAAAATGACTGTCAGTGGTGGGTGCCCATGAGCTAGTGATTTTGCAGCACTGGTAGAGGTCTGAGTCTTACTGTGTACTTAGACAACCCTGTTTGACTGGAACTCTCCGTTCAGTTCCCTCAGGGCGCAGATTTTGAGAAATTTAAGTGGGGCTGCAACCAGATAAGCCATTTCAAACTTCAGATGATGAAAGAAATGCTGTTGTGACAATGAGAGTTTTGAAATATTGTCACTCAGCCAAACTTTTACCTTCCATACATTTTTGTTCAGCAGAGGACAAATCAAGAGGGAAAATGAGCATTTGGTAGATAAATTTTGGATTTTCAGTCAGTCTCTTATGACTCATATGGAATAATAACTAAGATGCAAAGAAAAGGGCATTTGTTGTTCTGACAGTAGTTTTTTCTTACAAATAAATCTTGGGCTTTTTGACAAATGTGCCATATTTCAAAATTATGATTTTTCTTACACTTTTTTAAACCCACCAAAATCCTCCCAAATGATACATGAGATATTTTTATATTTCATATGAGAAATATGAGCATGTTCCCAGCCACGTGTTGAGGTCTTTGAGATTTGGTCCATTCTAGGCAGCCTATAAAACCACAAAAAGACGTTCAGAAGTGTCTGTGTATAAGAAAAGTTGAAATATGCTGATTTCAAAATTCAGTAAATAACAGAGAAATCAGAATTAATGGTTTCTTTTTGCTATTTCTGCAAATTCACTCTAAACATTCATTTTGTTTGAGCACTAGCATGCTCTGGGCTATTGCCAGGCTTGTTCTGGGAACAATGGATGGCTAAAGAATGAGTTGAGCTCAGGACTTGCCTGCTGCCGAAGAGGAAACTGAATTGCCAGTGGTTAATTCAGCAGAATTGGGCCCTAAATGCACATACTGCTCCTCTAAATCACTTTCTTAAATCATTTCTGTTTTCATTCAGCTGTCAGTTTTCTGAGACTCTGAAGAGTTTCTGGTTAGCAGGCTGAGATTCTCTTTTTGTTTTCACAGACTCCTTCCCTCCCTGCGCTGAACTGTACAGTTGAAAATGCACATCCTTCAGTATCTTATTATTCAAGGCCACAGGTGACATCTTACAACACCTACTACCACAGCACTCCTCATCTGCCTCCTTATTCCGCATATGACTTTCAGGTAGGAACAATACAAGCTATTTTGTTATTTAGCCACAGGGTTAAATGTAGCCCAGTCTGCAGATGACAGAGGGCTAACTTCCTGATGTCATATACATTTACATTTTTCTGTTCATGCGTAGAATACCGAATCTTTCCTACTAGCTACTGATCTTTGGCTGTGTTCCCTTTTAGTGAGACAGTGTTTTCCTGAGAGCTCCTCTCTAAGAGAAGGCAACAGAATGTGCCACCTGCCTCCCTTGTCATTCACTGGTTGAGGCCACATTAAAAATAGTGTCTGGGACACCCGTGATGCTCTGAGGGTAGAGGCAAAGCAAGATGTTCAGGTGCTAGTTTTTATGAGACCAACTGCTCTGCCTGAGAGATCATGTATATGATTGAAAAGTTTTTCTGTTTTTTTTTGTTTGTTTGTTGTTGTTGTTTGTTTGTTTGGCTTTTTGTGGGTTTTTCTTGTGGGTAGTGTTTTGGGGGTTTTGTTTTGTTTTTTTGTTTTGTTTTGTTTTTTCTCCCATGCACTTCAGTTGGGCTAAGAAAAGATCCAGTTGCTCTCTGCAAACCCAAGCTCGACTGTAACATGCCCCTCTCTCATCTGAGTTATGGAGCAGTACAGTTAGAAACAGTGTTATTTCAGCTTTGCTGTCTGCTTCTGAATTTTTGCTTTTTGAAGTAAATGGGGAGTTCTTAGCTCTCCTGTCAGGTGCTGTCACCATGATGGTTACAGTGATTTAACACATCATACATTTTCTTTGTGGCTGGAGACGGTTTTAATGAACAAGTGCTTACACCCTTGCACAGCAGCTGAGAGATGTGGTCTCTAACAATCACAGAGCTGTGCAGTACTAACCTCTTTCCTCAGGAGTTCCACTAGGGAATGGTAATTTGGATCTAAACCTTTCTCTCTTTACTGATAGTGCCACAGGAGGACAACCCTGTTGTCGGGGCCTCCTGGAAACATTTGAACATTTCCAATATCAGAATTTCTAGGACATGTTTATACAGGTTTGTGACCTACTTTTTCATTAGTGCAGCCTGGGACTGTCAACTGCGTTGTATAACTATCTACAGTTACAAAGGTGCCAGCTGTAGTGTATATGGAAACAAGCTCTGCCACTAAGCGCCTTCGTCAGATGCTCCGCTGATAATAAGCCCTGTTTAGCTCTGGGTTTGTCTGTACGCAGTCAAACCAGCAGGGAGCTCGACATGGGGTGGATCTGTCTGCTTTTCAACCCAAAAGACTACCAGGGCTCTCCCGGTGCTTGTATCTCAGCTGACCAGATGAAAGGTGATGGAGCCTCTCCGTGTCTCACTATGTGGTAATGCAAATGGTTTTGACTTAGCTGTTGATGCAAGAGGTGTACATAATGCAAGTAATCAAAATTCAATGTAGCTAACTCACTTTCAGAAGCCAGTTAAAGCCTGAGTCCTGCTGATTCCACAGGAAAGATGAGGAAAGCGTTAACCCGGTGTCAGAGCACAGAGAGCACCTCCCTTCACGGAGCTGTGGCGGTCTGAGCCCAAGGGCTGCTTTGCTGATAAGAACTGAAGAAAGGAGAAGCAAGCGCCTGCCCTGCCTCGCTCCGGGCAGCTGCTCCTAGCCGGAGCGTTTGCTGCTCGTCCCGGCATGTGCAGCTCCATGTGCGCTTGGTGCCGCCTCCCTGGCCTGGCCCTGCGCTGGCCCTGCTGCCCGGCCTCGCCTCAGCGCTGCCCCGTCACTGCCCCGTCACCACGAGGTCACTGCTGATGGCAGGACTGCGCCCTGCGCCCGGCGCGGCCGTGCCGCTCCGCGGCCCCGCTCCTCTTGGCAAGGTCGCTGCTCCCTGACAGAGGAGGCCTCGAGCTAAGAGCAGTTCCCAAGAGCAAGGAGAACCAGCCCTCACGCCTAGCTCTCTTCTCAGCAGCTTTTATCAGTAAAGGAACTGACCTTGCTCAGCAAAACTCTTCAGCTGAACCAGCTAAACTCCTAGGCAGGGGTTGTGCCGTGGGTCCTGACACTGTGAGGGTTCTGGTGTGGAAACTCCTGTTAGGCCTTACCCTGTGGTCTGCACGGTGTCTGAGCACCCTGACACCCCCTCCAGTCTGGTTCCCCATGCCATACTGAGTGGGACAAACTCTGCTTCCCTTGGGACGTGGCGGGGGGTTCTGGTGAGC